TATACACTTGACTTTCTCATGTTGACCCTTATAATCCTATTACTGTATTATTTGAACATCACATCTTTTTTTCCCCTGAAATAGAGACGGAAATCTCCTTAGCTACAATTTTAAGTATGATTGAGAGGGGTTCACCTTCCCATTTTCAAGTGGCTTAATAATACAAAATTGTCAAAACAACATGGATCTTCAGAGACAGCCTGCGACTTACTGTGCTGATAACCATTTATCCCGCCTATCCACGGATGAAAGGGAAGATGAACTCTTCAGAACAGAATAAGGGTTTTCCATAGATAAATGTTTCAATGCCAGTGCAGTTACATAGTTTCTCAACAGGAGGAAAAAAAATTGCCAGATTTACTTTCACAGTTCCTTCTCCTTTTTTCCTATATTTTTAAAAATTTCCAAATACAGCACTTGAGAATTTTTTTTTTTTTTTGCCCCGAGTCTATTTCCTAATAAGGCACCTTAATCAAAGGTGCCCTATCTACCCATTGAAACCATCAAAGAGTCTAATTTTAAAATAGAGGTCTTAGTTCTACGTACCAAACCATAGTCTACAATTCTGTATGAGCAGAACCTTCGTGCGCTTACCCGGAGGCCAAATGCTTTGCCCAAATTTGAGGGCACAAGTGATTACAAACCCCTCGTGAGGAAATAGGGTGATCCTCAGACAAACAGGTCTGATGAGAGAGCCCTGACCTGGGAGAAAAGATAACAATTACCAGGATGTATGCTTTACTAGGCACTAAGCTAAGAGTTTGGGATGTCCTCTAATCCGGCTCAGAGCGAATAAGCAAACGTGTGAGGGTAAGCATCTCCCCACAAGGAAGTAGCCAAGGGGTTGGGATTCAAAACCAAGATGGTCAGATGTCCTTTTCTCTACATCATAGGGAATGTGTCCGCGCTAGATTAAAGCTGCAATGGCCACCGGAAGTCACGTCCCTTGGTTTCCTGGTCTGGAAGAGTCACCTGTGGTCAGTTAGCTTGGTTCCAGGACTCTGCATAATACCACATGTTGGTAATAACGATCAGAGTCATGAAGGGGCAACTATGATCAGTAACCATTTAAGAAGGTAAGGAAGTCCATAATGCATGTTCTGAAAATGTTAAAACCCCTTTGGTGTTAAAGGGATATGCTTCTTTTAGCTAGAGAATGAATGTCTGTCGATTAGCCCATTCCTTCATACGATGGCAGTAATGTGAACTATAATTGTTTTTTTCCACTACAAAGAACGGGAGGGAAGGAGGAAAGCTTACATACACTATGTGGCTCCCGTATTTTCTTGTGGTAGGAACGTCCATATAACACCCGTGAAAAAATGCATACGCATAATGACATTCCAAACTGAATTTATTTCTAGCTCCTCAATCATTTTGCACTATTCAAGCCTTTGCTCATCTCCATCCATTCAAATGTGTATTAAATGCCTACTCTGCTCATGATACTGTGAAGGACGTATAAAGATAAATATGAGTAACTCGCACATTAAATATAGGTATCAACTCTTAAGGAGTGACAACAGCCAGAGGATCATGTGTCAAACGAAATGAGTACCTACAAATAAATAAATGCTGTTTTATATCCTGAGCTGTGCTGTGAGATTGAAAACATATGCAGATTACACACTGATTTCACTAGAATATTGTATCCACCCACAATTAAAAGGGGAGGATTGACTCTGCACAGCTTATTAAGCCGACGTGTTCATTTATATTCCAACAGTGCTTCTTACCACAAGGATCGCGGGCTCCAGCAGAGCTCAATGCAATGTGCTTACACAATAGCATCATTTTATACAGAAAAGACAGTGGCTCAAACTCAGAAACCATGTCATGTACACTCGACTAGCAGAGGCTGGGGTTCTCTATGGCTGGGCTTTCTTCTTCAAAAGGAGGATCAGTTGCCCCAAAAAGACACACATTAAAGCGTGTGCTCTGCGGATTTCAAACTGGAGCAGAGGGGACACAGCAAAGAGATAGTAATTGTGGGGTTTGTTTGGTTTTTCTTGGTACAATGATTATCTGAAGTATAACTAATTTATTTTAAATGCCTCACTAACATTTCTTTAACTCTTCTTTGTATTTTTATGTTTACAGTAATGTAAAAGGATATATAGCATGCAGTTATAAATTTATTTTTAAATGCTATCATGTGAAAACTAAAGATTATAAGCCAGTAGCAGAAATATTTCAGTAGCTTTAACTCTCGGATATAAACACCTAGGAAATACAGGATCGCTCTCTCGTGAGGATCATATCAGAGGCTGGTGCCAGCCCACCATATTTTGATCAAATTTGCTATGAATCCAACACTCAAAAATGCAAAAGACCCTTCATGTTTACAAAAATTATCAGCTCTTTAAACCAAAGACCCAGAAAGTGAAGCCATAGAAAATTATTTAGAACTTTCCCAATAACCACAAAGAGACCATTAATTCCATATGATTTTCAGATTCAGTTCCCACACAACTGGTATACAATAGGCCTATGGTTGTAATACACTTATTCCAATGTTTATCTCTTTATGTCAAGGTATGAAACATACTAGCTTCAAGTGCAGGGCTTTTTACTTAAGGGGTATAGCTCCTTTAGTATTGCTTCCAAGTGATGTTAATAATTGCCCAGCCATCAATGAAGCGTCTGTGTTATATTACTAGGCTGCGCTCTTCTGCGCAATTTGAAGATAGGACTGAAAGCCATCAGAAGAGAATCAGCAGAGTAGGTAAGAGAATTGACTAAATGGAAGAAAACTAAATACAGGGGCAGACGCAGCCCAAGGCCCAAGGTCTCATTTCTCTAGTTAATAAATAATCGTAGTTCCAGATTGAGCCATGTGGTGTTCCTGCCGTTGGATTAGCCACTTTCCTATTGAATCCCTTATAACTGAGAGAAGCTACAGTTAAGAGTGTAGGCTTTGGAGCACAAAGAATGGAAGATCAAACCCTGGTCAGCCCCCTACTAGTCATGTGATCTTGGGCGACTTATTTAAATTCACGGAGAGCTTCACTTTCCGCGTCTGCACAATCAGGTGAATCCTTTATCACAGGGTTACTATTTCTCATCAACCAAAGAAAATACGAGTTCTTCAAATGCACCTTAAGCCTTCCCACTAGAGAGGGTCACGACAAACTTAAAGAAAACGTTCGTGTTTCTTTGGCTTAAATACCAATGAGATAGAATCTATTTAACACATTAAGTTGGATTCTCCCTGCAGAAGGTTTAACTCATCTTTGTATCCCCAGGAAGTAACATAAAACCTTACACAAAATACATTCCTGCTGAAAGATGTAAATCATAACGTCCACAAATATATTCATGGTACGCCCACGGCGGCCTCACTGCCTCTACCTCGGACGCGGTGGCTCTGTTCCCCTCTCGCCATCTCTGCCACCGGCACCGTCCACCAAAGGCCCCTGCAGGCCTCTCCTTCCTGAGAGCAGCACCCAGGGCTTCCCTCCGGTCTTTTGTCTTTTCTTCTCACGGTAGAGTGATTTCAAAGCATCAGTGGATCTTAGCACACTTCTAAGACTCCTACCACTCCTAAGAAAAATACAAAATCCCTAGCCGGGTCTACAGAGGTTTCTGGCTCCAGCCACCCGTCCCAGTCCTGTCTTGTTTCACATCCCCTTGCTTCCATCTCAGCCTCACTGTATTCCAAGCCCTCTCTGCCTTTGCTGCCGTCCTGCCCGAACATTCTGCTGCCGGGGGCTGCACATCCGCCCTCACCGGCCACACCTCACCGTGGCTTGTGACTATCCCAGCAACGCCTTTCCTGACCCTGTTATAACTCCTTACAGAACGTTTCTGTCCTTCGGAGAACTTACCAAGTTATACTTCTGTTCTCATTTAATGTATGTCTGTGCACCTTCCCAACCAAAGCACAGACTTCACAAGAGGAAGAGTTCATTTCTGTCCCCCAGGTGCCTTTACATTCAAAATTTTGTTGAATGAGTAATTTTTATAAGAATATTTTAACATTCTTAAGATATCACAAAAGGTCCATCTCTGTGACTGTGAAAAAGATTTTGAGAAGTACTATAATAAGAAACTAGGTGCAGACTACTATTTGACACATAAAGTCAGAATAAATATGCAAGGGCAATTGGAAGGAGACGCAAAACACATTATTTTTCTAAGTTTGAAAATGTATTTTCTCAGACGTAGAACCTCATTTCTTTCAAGTTGTAAGCATATGCTAATTTCATAGCAGACAACTTTTTCTTACAGGACCAAAGGCTATGAGGACGTTTTGCAAGAGAAATTGAAGTCCAGCACAGTATCTCATGCATCCATGAAATACGATCATCTGTGCACCTACAGGTGTATACAGGGCTTTTAAAGCGTGATGGCTTAATCAGAATTTTTTAGAACACGTTCTAAAGTCAGCACGTGAACATCGCCCCAGCTGCAATGAGTGCCTGCATGGCGGGAAGCTGTGCTACAATTTACTTCAAAAAGAAATAAATGCACTTAAGGGAACGGCAACTGGGTTTCACTGCCCCTTCACTAGATGACAATACTAAGTGCGTGGCAAGGTTAGCGCTAAATTTTCTATGTGCCGTTTTATAATTATAAATTAGCTGTGGTACACTTATCAATTGCGGCATGTTAGGCAGTCGAGAAGCTACAATTTCATGCTGAAAGCATGATGAAAAAAAGTCAAAGGCTGCAGAGATTTGATATTGGTAAAGGCAGAAAAGGCAGCTGCAGCTATAAGAAAGCCATCTTTCGCTGGGTTGTAAAGAAGTAAAGCAAGGCGACAAGGAGGGACTCCTGCCTGGGCATCTCTGGCAGCCTTAGCCCCGGACAGTGCGCCACTATGCAAGTGCGCTGGCACGTACTAGCCCTCCCTTAACTCAAGAGCAACTTTGGGAAACGCGAGGTCCAGGAAACCAGGACCAGGATGAAGGGATGACACTTTGGACCCTGGAAACCTGACGGGGTCTTTATTCCATTTTCCCCTGCTGATCCCATTGCAAGTTATAGGAACGGCTCACCTGGGAAGACACTGCAGCCCCCGGGGGAGGCAAGCCCGGGCCTCCCAGGCTCTGCAGGGCGCTCCCCCGCACGTCCGTCACCGCCTGGCCCGGGCGCACTCGCGCCCGAATTTTCTCTCCGTTCAGAGTACAGCCTGGTCCTTCCACCATCTCCCAAGCCGACACTGGGGCCTCTAGTTTCAAGACTCTGGGGGAAAGTTGCTGCGCAACTTAACCTGCGCGCGGATATTAAGTCGGCAGAGAGGAAGTTCAAATCTCCCGCGCCGCAGGCCCCGCCCAGCAGGGCCCTTGCTGCGCCCAGGCCCCGCCAGCCCCGCCCAACCGCGCCCGACCCCGCCCAATGCCCGCTCGGCTCCCGCCCCAGGCCACGCCCCGCCCCGCCCCGGCCACGCCCCAGGTTCCGCCGAGGCCCCAGCCCTGCCGGCCCCATTCTGGGTGCATGACCGGACCCCTACAGCGAAAGCGCAGTTCCTCACCCCCGGCTTCTGTGGGATTATTAGGGTTGAAACGCGAGAGCCAGATGAGTGGAGCCCAACCAAAGGGGCTAAACCGCAGAAGCGTGAACTTTCTTTTCTTTGTTCTGAGGTTTCGCACTTGTCCTTGAACTACTCGGTGTATGCACGTTTTGTGACCTCATCCTCTTACTGTGTCCCCAAATCCCAGGTTGTGCAGCCTGGCAGGCCTCAGGTGTTTTCATGCCCCATTAGGGCCTGGGAGGGAGGAGAGGGACTCAGAAGAGGGTTTTTAAGACAAGCTGCTTTCATTTTTTCCCTGTAAGTTTAACACATCTTAGAAAATGTGGCTGTATGTAACATATACTTTAGTGTCTATATTAGAACCCCTTCATTTTTACATACCTGAGTGAGCCCTACCCATGTGCATGCAAGCCTCCTGTTATGGGATGCTCCAAGATGAATGCTGTTTGAATTTGCTTTGGGAGACGCAGGGCTCTGTGTAAATTTGAGGGGAATGCATAGCTTTTCAAGTCTTCACAAAGATGCATACATATAAATTTATGAAGCTAGTAACTCCATGCAACTTTGTAAGTAGTGAAAAATATATTCCTTTTGCAAAACTAAAACATAGCACACCAGAACTCCCATTTATCACTGATTTAATGAGCATATCACAGTGCTGTAGTTAGTTCAGCCAGAAAACCCTGCATACTAGAGACTTGAATTAGAATATACTAAAGACTTGAATTCAAAAATCTGAAAAGTATTGAATCTCCCCCTTTGTGGCAAGAAGTTAGTGGCTGAAACGATAACTGGATGGGATTCAGGAATCTTTGTACTTTATTCCCTTGTTTAATTGTCATTTACTCTTCGAGGTCAAGTTACTAAATAATCAAGAAACAACCCTCCCTACAACTGAAATTTAGTCATAGTCTCTGTGCTTTGATGGAAAAAGTCCTTCCTACCGTGCTCACTTCTACTTTCTCGTTACAGTTTGCTACTTGACAGATGATCTCCTTTGCTATTTCTAAGCGCCTGCAGGTCAGGAACTTGGCAGTGGCCTAGCTGGGGGGGGTTCGGGCTGGGGTTCTGGCCCAGAGTTTCTCAGGCAGCTGCGGTCAAGATGCTGGCCAGGCTGCAGCCATCTAAGGGCTTGATTGTAGCTACACGATCCACTCGTAAGGTGGCCCACCTGCGCGGCCTTTGGCAGGAGGCCCTGCTTTCTCATCTCAGGGTCTGTCTATAGGATACCTTTTGGTGTCTCTGGGCCACAATGGAAGAAGAGTTGTCTTGGGCCGCACATTAAATACACAAACACTAAGGAAAACTGATGAGCAAAAAAAAAACCAAGGTTTTAAGTAAACTTACGATTTTAGGTTGGGCTGCATAACCAACATGAAGAGCCAGCCTGGACTGCATGCGGCCCGAGGGGCGCGGGTCGGACACCCCGGCATCTACAGGGTTGCCTGGCTGTTGTCATGATGTGGCTGCTGACTTCCCCGAGAGTGTATGATTCAAGAGAGAAGACCAGGCGAAAGTTGTAATCTTTTTTTTTTTAATTACCTCCTCTCTGAAGCGACACACCCTCACCTTCACTGGTCCCATTCATAGAATCCAGTCGTCCAGTACAGCCCATAAAGGGGTAGGAAGGGGGTAGGGGAAGAAGCTTCATCCCTTGAGGGGAGGAGTATTAAATAACTTGTGAACATATATTAAAACCACCACAGTCTTCACGAATCGGATTCACCGCAGACTTCTCACTTCTCTTCAGGTGCTGTGTAGTGGTGCACGTTTGGAGCAAATGTGATCTCTGAGGAGAATTAGGTTTACCATTCCCCAGAGAGCTCAGGAAAAGTTGAGGAGTAAGATCGAAGACACTAAGAGCCTCCACTGCTGTGCGCAAGGCCAAGCCACATTTTGTTTATATGGAATTAGCCTCTGAGTCTTGTGATACTTCTCTTTCATCCAATCAAGAGCAAAATCACATGCAGTGTCTATAAAAAGAGCTGCCTCGCCATCGCAAGCAATCCTACCATGGGGTGAACTCTGGGTACTTTTCAACTAGGCATATGCCAGGAAACAAAAATTACCACCTTTTTTAAACTTCCTCTTCATCCCAGTTTACTGAAATTCTCCCAGGGTTTAAGTCCTACTTGAAAGTGGAGGCTCTAGGAAACGTTTCAGATACGGTCAGAGTTAATCTCATCGTCTGAAGTGGGTTCTTCCATAGATTTTACCAAACCAACCTTGCGTAAGAGTTAATTGGTACGTACTGGTCTCCTGCTAGACCGGACTCTCATTCCTCGAAGACAAAAGAGTGATCGAGAGCAGGGGGACAGCTGTCCAGGGGGGCGAGGGGGTGTTGGGGGGCTGGGCGGGGAGGGCTGGAGGAGAAAGAACAGAAAGAAAAAACTTACGGTCGTGGGCAATATTGTGGTGATTGGGGGGGTGGGGGTAGGGGAGGTAGAAGAGGGTGAAGGAGGGATAAAGGCTGATGGAAGGAGACTTGATTTGGGATGGTGAACACACAACGCAGTGTACAATGTACAGATGATGCGTTGTGGAATCGTGTACCTGAAATGTAGAATTGTGTTAGCCAGTGTAACCCTAATACAGGCAATGAAAAAAAGAGAAGAGTGTCCTGTTCCTCTTTACACTTCCCACAGCAGTGAGAAAACTGCACAGAATAGATGTTCCCCAAATTATTTGTTGAATTATGATTATTGACTTAAGATTTTAAAAAGTGGGCCTTTCTGTCTCATATCATTACCTCATACCTTTCTCATATCATTAATGCTGTTCTCAGGAACTGGGAGGCTCCGAGAAGAGATGGGAATTGAGCGGATCCTTTAAGAAGTGGGGGGCCTAGGCAAGGAGAGAGGGCAGTTAAGGAGATTCGAAGCCAGAGGAAAGTATGTGCTGTGCCTGGATGGGGTGTTAAAGCGGAGGCGTCAGGCAGGGCAGCAGTGCTAGGTAACACTGGAAAGGTGCCCCGGGGCCACGTGGCGGAGAACACGGGATGAGGAAGAGTAGGGTGTGTTCTCCTGGGATCATAGGCAGCCAGTGAAACTTCTTAGCAGGTGGGGGGAGCCCAAGCCCCAGAATTCACAGTACTCATTTCCTAAAACTGAAATCCGAGACTTCATTCAAACTATGAAACTGCTCTGCAGTTGGGATCTGTTCTTTGCTCCTTCTTCGTTAAGAAATATAAGGATCACAGTTCCTCCTGGTGGGTGGGCGGAGCTTCTTACACACTGCTGCATTCATAACATTTTGAAGAGTCCTTAGTTTAACATTTCTCTGTTTTCACTAATAATAATCCCAGATATTTGTTTAGTGCTTCCTTGTGCCAGGCGGAGTTCCAAGTGTTTTGAAATACGAACTCTGTTAATACTCAAAACAATCCTCTGAGGTTAGTACTGTTTCTATCTTCATTTTACAATGGAAGGAACTGGGGCACAGAGAGGTCCAGTACCTTGCTCAAGGGCCAAGAGGCGGGATTCAACCAGGCTCTGGTCTTCGCCAAATACTTTCAGCAACTTCAATGATGTTACACTGGCTCTCCCCCAAATATTTTTAGCAACAACTTAAGAAATTTCAGTCAGCCTTATATGGGAATTCAAGATGTTCTAAAAGTTTCCCTTTAGCATATTAAGTTTTGACATTTTAGGTAATGAAACTTTGTTTTTACCCTTCCCCTTATAAGGTCTATAGACAGATTTTTAGCTAGAATGATAAAAATGTAGCATGGGGTAAGTTCTTTAATTTCTGTGTTTTGCATAAATTACCCAAATATATTTAACACGTAGACAGATAACATACATCATCTCTCAACGTCGTCTTAATGTGAGCTCTGAGTAGAGGAAGCAGTCGTTAGTGAGTGTTATATGCAGGTGTTTTTAGTGGTATTTCCTAAAGAGTCTCCAGTTTCTACCCATTAGGAGAAACTTTTAACAGTAGACTACCAGAAGAATAATAAACTGCACAGCAGCAGATTCCATTTTGACACTTTTATTGTTTGGAGCCCGTACCAAATGTCGAGACTCTGCAAAGCAGTAGAATCCGTTCCAGGGTGAAGGCTGGAAGAGCCAGGTGACGGTTTCCTGCCTGCAAAGCCAGACTCTAAATGGACGCGTCACCCCAGGCCTTTAGGTGACCCGCGGTGGCTCTGACACCCCGGCCTTTTCAGAGAGCCGTGACATAGGATCGCAAGGCTTCCATTCCGACTGTGTTCTGCCAAATTCTTCATGGAAGAGAGTATTGTAATTCATTTTTTAAACTTAAGCATGTTAAGTAAGTACAGGTAATATCTGAGCATGAACTAAATTTGGGGGGAAATAATAATCAAATGGTTATTAGATGCTTACTAAAGATCCAGATTCTGAGGGGTTCTCTCCATGAGTGAGGATGAAAGAATTCACTGATTGTCCATTTTGAAAGAGAAAAGCAAGTGGTTTTTGGCTAATATCTTGGAGCAACAGTTTTCTTCCTTCAACTCAAGGCACAAAATCCACCATTGCTCATTCATTCAAAAAGCAATACGAGCAACTGGTACTTTGTAGGAAGAGTGCAGAGAAAAGAGATAAAATAACTCACAGGAAAGAGACAACGCCCACCAGGGCTGAATCATGGCCCCTGGACACATGGTCACGTTTTAATCCCAGGAACTTGTGAACACGTTACCTTGCATGGTCA